AGGTGACTGCCGCTGGCCGGGGGTGTGGGAAGTGGGGGATGGGGGAAGCAGCAGTGGGACTGGAGAGCTGCCCTTGGGGCACAGCCGCCCCCACAGCTGCCAACTTGGGCCCCCAGAAGACCATATGTGTTAATCGCGTTGGCGCCGCTGGCCCACGGGGCTCATAGTAGACGTGGAATTCGTTTTCCACTTTACAATTCATTTTTTGCTGATTTTGGCCCAAAGTGAGTGACTGGTGTAACTTTGGGGTTTGGGGAGTTGTCCCATCCGTCACCAGGCTGGCGCCCCACGGCGACAGCTGAGCTGTGGCTGGTCGCGGACGCCTCGGTCTCCATGGCTCCAGCTGTTTGGAACAGGCGCTACCTGAGGCGTTTGATTTCCCCGTTCTCGTTATTTCCCGTGTAAGTCACGTGTTTCTACAGCTGGTGCCATTCACACTTCGCGGCAGACTTGCAGCCGCCCTGTTCTCCGGTAGCTGAGTGTGCAACACGCAGTTCCCTGTTGTCACACACATCTCCGGGGTCTGGGGTGTCGAGTCTTCTGTTCGGGGACGTGGCCGTCGAAGGAGTCCGAGCGCGTGAAAGGCCCTGGGATGTGGGGCGATGCGGCCCACGCCGGTGCCCGTGGCTCTCGGCTTGGTGATGGCAGCGACGCTTACGCCCACCCTGGACGCTGTGTTCCAGCAGCTCATTGATGACACAGGGAAGCTGTGCCCCAGCCCAGCCCAGCCCTCCACCCACTGGGTGCAGAGCAGACGTCCTGCCCTCAGGGAGGGCGCCAGCCACCTGATCCACGTGTCGCAGAGCTGGCCAGGCCGCAAGCCCCAGCAGGCCTCAGGGCTGATAAGAACAAAGTGGAGGCAGAAGTGTTCGCCACTGCAGAATGACCCTAGATTTCAAACAAGAAACTTGAACTGATCCAGAGATGGGGTGGGGGCCGCTTCCCTGGTGAGTAGCTGCCCGTCTCCGATGCGCTTTGCGGAGCGGGTGCCTGACAGGCTGCAGTTGCAGATGGGGTTCCTGGATGGGCACACCAGGTGGGCAAGGGGGAGAGCTCCTGGCCTGGGCCCGTGCCTTCCAAGGGATTCGGGGTTGGTAGATGGCCCTGGGCTTCCCAGGGCATGGCCCCACTGACCATGAAACAACTCTGGGGGGCTGGCTGTCAGCCATCCGGGAATGGGTGCTTGGGCTGGGTGGGCCCACAGCCTCGAGCTCAGTACCGCCTGGGCCCAGCCCACCTGGACCCTCGGTGACGGCCTGCGGTGGCTCTAGTGCCCGGTGGGCACGTCCCCACTGGAGGGTGCTTGCTTGGGTGTTTCCGAGCCATGGTACTTTTCAGAATCTTCCCAGAGGGGATTTGGATCCCCTCGTAAGAGTTCTTGCATCTGATGATTCAGTTTAATCAGACTTAGGACTGGAAGTAAAACTAGACTGCGGCCCAGAAGCCGCGCGGGTCTCTGGGTGTGGCCCACCGTGGGGACTGGGGGCCGCGTGGGATGGGGTTCACACCCGAGGCTAAGGCAGAAAGTGGGGACCCTGGAAGTAAGTGTGGCACCATCTGGGGAGCGGCTCGGAGAGGCGCCCTGTCCTGTCAGTCATGCACCAGGGAGGTGGACCAAGCCAGGACCTGAGCAGGAAGTCCGGGGCCGGGTGGCAGAGCCCACCCTGCCGGCCCTGGGCGAGACGAGGCAGTGGCAGCCGGGCTCAGGTGCCACCCTCCCTGGTTGCTGGGAGAGACGGCCCCTCGCCCTGCCACCCCGTTCTGAGCCCTGCCCCTCGGGGTCCTGTTCCCTGGAGGCCCTGCTGCTGTCTTATGTCCGAGTCTGTTTCCTACCAGTTTGTCTTGCCTCGCGTTCCACTGGTGACGGCTAGGAAATGCGGCTTGAGTGGCACGTGCCTGTCCTGCTGTTGGGAGGCCCTCTGTCCAGCCAGGCCTGGCATGGGCCTCCGTGAGGGAGCAGCTGACTCCGTTCTGGGACCTGTTCCCTGGAAGCCGCCTCCGTCTCCTGGTCGCTGGGCTCCGCCCTCGGCGCCCCCTCCAGCCTCCTTCACTGGACGCTGTGCTCAGAGCCGAGGCGCCCATGGGGGCCAGCCCGTGAGCCCACTGCCCGCGCCCTCCTGCCCCCATGGCACGCGGAGGACCCCTCCTGTGGGCCCGGTTGGCGTCCAAGGCGCGCTGTGGAGGTCGGCTTCTCTTAGGAAGTCACTTTAGAGATAACACCTTCACCTAAACCCGTTCGACTCCGAGGACAAAAGTGCAGGATGGGGCCAAGGTGAAGGGGGCATCGCGACCTTGCCTGGACACGTGGGGCCGCGGTGCCTCCACGGCTGCTGCGTTGCGTGGTGACGGGGCCGGGCCAGGTGCACAGGCCCCGGGCTCCACGCACCGCGTGTGCTGCTGCATTCGGGCTGTGGCGGGGAGACGGACCTCCCGTGACTGCCCTGCTCCTCCCTCTTTTTAGGGACAGTCCGTAAAGAATCCCGTCCCGGAGCCAAGGATTTCGTGTTCCCATGTGTCCATCTCCCTCATGTGTAGGTCACAGGTGCCAAAGAGCATGCACTCGGCCCCGACACAGCGAGGACCCAACACGCCTTTATCACGGGGCCTCCTGTGGTGGCACAGCGTCCCCGTCACCCGAGGGCCTTGCCCCAGAATGTGCACGCCACCCTTCGCCTGTCCCAAGTGACAGCAGTGGACACGTGTGCCCTCTGAAGGCCAAGGGGCCAGCAGTGAAGCCACACCGGGTGTGAGCTGGGAGGCCTGTGGCCGCCACTCAGATCAGGCCACGTCTGTGACCTGGCGAGGGCTGGCAGCCCAGCACCTCGCAGTGCAAGGCGCTCAGCAAACAGGACTTCACTTCAGGTGTGGAGGGGCCACTAGCGCAGGTGGCTTCGTCCCCATGTCCTTGGCCTTGAAAGCATCAAGGGTTCCTGTCGTTGAGGCCAGGCCCTTGGGGGGCCCCACTGCCGAGCAGGGGCTGGTGATGCGGAAGGCAGGGTGGGGGCTGGCAGCTGGCATCTTACAAGCGTGGGATCTGCAGGGAGGCTCAGCCTGGCCTCCCGCCTTGGCCTGTCTGCCGGCCCTTGGCCGAGCGTGGTCAGCCGTAGCAGGCCCTGTGTGCGCTGGGGCGGTTGCTTCTGGAAACATCACAAGTTCCTCTTGCCTGCCCGCACCCCCGTGTGGCTCGGCTTCCCGGGCACCCAGCGCTGGCCAGTCCCCCAGGCTCGGCCTTTGCCGGCCTGCCCCTCACGGTCCAAGGCCAAGGGGCTGGGGCTGCTGGACTGTCCTGCTGCTTCAGCACAGGGAGGCCCTGTCCAGCCAGAAAGCGTTCCCGAAATGTTTCCTTCTGACACCCCCCATGCGCAGGGGACTTCCTTTGAAAGCCCCTCATAGCCCCACTGGCCCGTGGCCCAATCAGAGGGTCCCCTCACATCGGCCACTTTGCCTCTAACAAAGGCTTTGTCTTGGTGACACACTATTGACCTTGGCGTCACCCCCATCCTCGTCCCTGTTCCTGTCCCCTGTTGTTTGAAGTGGGAATTCAAGTGGACTCTGGGTCCCTGTGAACTGAGATGGGGGTGGCTTTGTGACTTCTCTAGGGCTCCTGGCACGGGCACTCCCTGTCCTTGGTCCTGCCTGGCTCAGCCTGGAATTTGCCAGAAAACGGTCGAGAAAGGCAGCTGTTTGTCGTCCTGTTACACTGGCGAGGGTCGGGGTCTGCTCCCTCCCCCGGCCCTTCTCCTCGGTCTCACGGGACTTCATTTGTCCCGTCAGCAGCCTGAACTCGGCTCCGTGTGGGAGGGAGGGGCTTGGCAGTCGGTGGCAGGACCGTTGCAGCCCTGACTGTGCATTTGGCGGCCGTCTTTTGAGGGCCGTCACCGAGCAGCCATGCCCGTCGGGGTGGCAGTCTCAGAGGACGGACGCCACAGGGCTGCACGGCCGCCCTCCTCCTAGTGGGAGAGCAGGGGGCCTGACCACAGACTGGGTGCTTGAGCCTTAACTCCCAATGCTACAGCGACATGTAACGTCCCCTCAGCCCATTTCCTATCTCTGGACTTTAATGCCGGGTGTTTGAAGGACTCAGTTCCGGAAAGACGGACCTGCGTGTGGCAGCAGGGAGGTGGCGGGCCCAGGACAGGCTGTGGCTTTATTACACTTAGCTAAGGAATGACAAGAACCAGAACACCCCACAGCTAATAGCCCATTGTCTTTTTAAGTTAAAACTCTAAGATAAACCGCTTAAATGTATTCTGAAAGCTGTTTCCACTCTCTAGGAAGGCAGGAAATGTATTTTGAGTAATATGAGCTCATTTACATAAAGCGTCATAACTTAAAACATGGGCGAGGCAGTGAATAACGTATCACTGAGGTTCCTGAACTAGCCGGTCCGCCCCCAGCACAGAATTACCGAGATGCTTGTCCCCTCTGTCCAGGCTGGCCCGCAGACCACGCCTTTGTCTTTCGGGCCCCATCCCTTCTGAGGAGGTGAGCCCTCTCCCCAGGGCCCCCGAGGGCAGTCCACCGTGTTCATGGGGGTGTGGCCTTGTCTGGGGGGCCCCAGGAGAGGTACGTCCAGCTCTGGGGTCACCTACTTGGCACAGACGTCATGGCGGGGTCTGTGTGTCCTCTCTGAACTCCAAGGGACATCCCTGTCACGCTCGAGGCCTGGCCCCTCTTCACTGTTTTCTAGTGAGCGTTGTGCTCGCTGAAGGGCTCGGGGTTAGTGTGAACAAGGTGCTGGGGACAAGGAAGAAAAGTGGCCCGGGTCGAGGAAGCGGGCGTGAGAGGTGGCTGCAGACACAAGGTCTGCTTCCGGGCCGGCGCTGGCCCAAGGCTGTGGCCTGGCTTGCCGAGGTGGACGCCTCCAGGCGCGGGTCTGCCGGTCTGTGGGTGTGGGGCGAGCGCCTCCCCCGCCTGCCTGCGGGACTCAGGATTGCGGGCAGCTGTGCCCATGCCGTCGTGACCAGTTCTTCCCGGAAGTTCCTTAACCCAGCACCCAGCTACACGCAGAACGGCATCTTGCACATGTTGGACAGAAATAAGCGAATCAAGCCCCGGCCAGAGAGGTTTCAGAACTGCAAGGATCTGTTCGACCTGATCCTCACCTGCGAGGAGAGGGTGTACGACCAGGTGGTGGAAGGTGAGTGCAGGCCGGCCGCAGCCTCGTCCTCTGTCACACCTGTCCCTCCCCCACACTGCATTTGGGAGCCTGCCCGTGAAAGACGACGCAGCATCGACAGCATCGTGCATGTGGTCGCTTTGGTGCCTGAGGGGCATGTGGAGACTGGGCTGGGGCCTGGTGCTCGATGGGTGACAGCACAGCGAGTGCTGCACCCCGGCTGCTCTGTGCCCCCCGCCACCCCCACCCCACCCCCCGCAATGGCCTGGTGTTTGGGGAGGAAGTGGTCTGAGGCTCGGTCAGCCAGGGCACACAGAGCAGGGTGGGTTCTGAGGCCCCTGACATCTGCGTCATTTTGTCCCGGCCAGATCTGAATTCCAGAGAGCAGGAGACCTGCCAGCCAGTGCATGTGATCAACGTGGACATCCAGGACAACCACGAAGAGGCCACGCTGGGGGCGTTCCTCATCTGCGAGCTCTGCCAGTGTGTGAGTATCCGCACCCGCAGTGCTCAGGCAGCGTCCTGGTCGTGGCCCAGGGCCCAGGAGCAGTCCCCGCTGGAAGGTGACCAGGACTGTCTCCTCCTGCACGTGAGGGTTGCAGGGTAGAAGTGTCACACGATCCGACTCACAGTCTGCCTAGTTTCAAATGTTAAGTCCCAAGTAAACGCTGAGGTGCCTGAGAATCCGCTCCCCGGCTCTGGCTTGAGTTCGCATTTGTGCATTTTCTTAGCTCGATACAAGCACAGTGACCTGCTCAGCATCTGGCTTCATGCAGGCGGCCGTGTGTGCCACCCGGTGCTTCTAGGACACGCCCGAGAGGGTGTCAGGGCTCTGAGGGAGCCTGCGTCCTCCTCACCTGCAGGACTCGCCGTTCCAGACTCCTGGCCCGCAAGGCCCTGGGCATGCGCCCTTGTACAGAAAACCCCGGGCTTCTGCAGCCACTGTGCAGCTGAGCTCGGAGAAAACATTTCCTCTCAAATGGGGCAGGGAGACCTACCCAAGGAGAAACCACATGCCTGCCTTCTCCTTTGCCCATGGGATCTGCGTTTAGGTTAACTGGCTGTGAATGACACAAAAACAAAGAACAATTTAACTAAGAAGTCTGGAAATAGGCAGGCCCACTGGGCTGCTCCATGAGGGACCCGGCACGGCTTGTTCCCAACACCTCATGGCCCATTGTGGCTGCTGAAGCTCCAGCAGTCATGCCCATGATCTGGCTGTTGTGCAGGAGAAAGGGATGAAGGGGGGACGATGTGTCCTATAAGGTGCACACGTGACTTCCCCTTGGGTCACTCTGGTAAAGGCCGGTCTTTACTTCCTGGTGGCTGGGCCTGGGGGCACGGAGCAGCCTTGGCGCTAGCCAGCCCGCGTCAGTGCGGGTGTGCTCAGGAGCCATCCCGGGCCACCCCGGGGCTGCCCCAGCAGCACGTACTCCCTTTAGGGCAGCGGTTCTCCCCCAGGGACGTCTGGCCACATCTGCGCACTTCGTGGTTCTCACGCCTGGGAGAGAGAGCAGGGGCAGTGGTGGGCGGAGGCAGCAGGTGCAGCTCAGCGCCCTCTGGGGCACAGGAGGCCCAGCGGGAGCGGAGCTGGCTCCTCGCTGGTGACTTCGGGCAAGGGACTGTACCTGTGCCCGTGTCATTTGCAGTGTGGGGACAGTGCAGGCAGTGAGGATTCCATGTGACCCCCTGAGAGCAGGCCCGGCCGCAGCCTCACCGGGCAGGGGGGCTGAGTCCCGGTGTCTGGGGCGCCTGCGGCCCGGTCC